CATGATCACTGTATAAGACAAATTCTCGCTGAAACAGATAATGTCGCCAATGGTGAATGGCCTAAACAACAACATAAAGCTCTGCGTCGTAAGTGTTATACTTGCCACGAGCCCCTGCCAACTTCTGACTGAAATAAGCTACTAGTTTTCCTTCCTGACTGAGGACAGCTCCAATACCCAATTTANGAATGTACTTTAATTATTATTATTTTTTATTAAGTTTACACATTATTATATGTTTTTGTTCGTTTTAAATGTCAAAAAAAAAAAACTTGTATTTGTAACCTTGCTTGAGCTCACTTGAAAACTAAAACAAATAATAATAATAATAATAATAATAATAATAATAATAATAAAGACTTGAGAAGCTAATACCTTAACTTGTTGGGAAATAAAATGGATTGATGTTATATATGTGACACGATATGAAATATATGATTGCAAAAAAACAACAAGATAAAAAGCAAAGATTTAACTGGCAAAGGAATGGAATATTTTATTCCATTGATTAATACAGAGAAAATAAATATAATAATTGTGATTATACAATTATTTTATATTTCGATAATACCAAATTTGTTCAAAGAGTCTACTATTTATAGGGGTACATGACAAACTCTAAAAATACCACAAAGATGGAAACAAGATAAAAAAATCACGTGTAATAGAGGAAATAATTTTTTCTAATAAAAATGCTGGTAATAAAGGAATTAAGGAAATAATATTTTTTAAATAAAAGTGTGGGGAATAATAGAAGCAATTTTTTTTCCAAAAAATTTAACCTAATTTGTTTTTAAAAAAAATAAAAAACCAAACAATCTCCATATCAACGAACGAAGCTTCAAAATTTCTCCATATGAAAAAATAAATTCGACTGCAACAAAAAAACTTGAACTCTTCAACAAGAACCAAACTTTCTCAAATACAAAAATACTCATCTTCCATAATATCCAACCTACATGAACCCAAACACTAAGTTTCTCAAAATTCACAAAGTATTAGAAAATTATCAAACAATGTCAAAGCACATCCTGTAGCAAAATCAACTCTCAATGCTTTCATAGAAAGCCCCTAGTCTCAACACCTTCAAAAAGGTTGAAAACATGAGCAACCGAATCAGCATCCACGTACCTATCTCCAAGGGGTCTATCTCTAGCAATTGAATATGATGAACCTAGTTAAGTCCCAAAGGTACAGCACCAAACCGAATATCAACCACGATAAAAAATCTATGTTGACTTTCCTTCACAAAATTTCCCCTACTAAGCAAAATGTATAATTGTATCCTTCTGCCCTCCAATACAACGCGAACACCCTTTCGAATCCTTAAGACTCCACCTCCTCTAAAGAACATGTACCTTTTTGAATAAAAATACTCAATGAAATGATATTCTTCTTCAAGTATGGAATATGTAGAACACGATCAAATGTTCTACATGTTCCATTCTCCAGCATCAACTTCAAAGACCCATGCCAGCTATCCAACAAAATTCGTTATTACCCAAGATAACGATAAATTGCATCATCATTTCATATGCTTCAAACAAACCCCCATTTGGGACACATATGGGACGCACAAGCTGTATCCAAAACTCTCTACACATCAAGTTTGGATTCATGTCAGAAATCGTAAAAACATCTATGTTGGTCTCATCTGAAATATTTGATTGTTTTCTATGATTTGCAGTCAAATTAATTTTTGTTCTGCAATTTGTTACGATCCCTCTTAATATGTCATTTCTTCTTGTATTAATAACAAACTTGATTACAGAAATTTGACATCGACTTACCCCTTCTCTAATCATCATAAACAACAAGGCCTTCTCTATCTCTGGCATTGTATCCAACCAGATGCTTTATGTTTTTTTTTTTAATTTGAATATAAGGTATTATACGCATCTTCAATGGTGGGAGTACTACGACTATATAAGATTGAGTCTCTAAATGAAGTAAACGTATCAAGCAGGGAACATAAAAGGATTAACAATTAATCAATATATTTGGGATCTTGTCTCGAAGTAAAAGGGCTTTAATCAATTAATTTATATAAACGCATCCCTTATAGGGTGCTCTAAAAATTGAAAGGTAAAAACTTTTGACTTTGAAACCAATCTTTCACAATTATAAAGTTATTCTTCCTCCTTCACTAAATAATACTAGCCCCATAGGTTGCATTCCAAACATTTATCATCTCTCAACACTCACGTTTTATGGTCATGCACTTCTTTGTAGGGTAATGTAGATTGAATCTACAAACACACAACAACAATAACCAAACGGATTGAATTCAGAAACAAACTTTTATTATTTCATGAACAACCAAGAAAACCCTAGGAGGCGTCTTGTAGAGTCTTAAATATGAAAGAAAAGATAACCTACTGGGCCAGCAGTCCCAAAATGGGCTGGCTACAAAATGAAAATAACAAATGCTGAAAATAAATAACACAAAAACTTAAAATGCTGTTTTGACACACTGAACGACTTCAAATGCCCAAAAACCCTCGTATGTCACGGCAAAGCGATGAGTTCAATTTGAAATGCTCGCTACCTTTCCAAAATGGGGTTATGGGCCCAAAACGGACACCAAACGCAAAAGTTACATCAATTTATTTGAAAGCCGACCATCCAACCGTTCCATGTGTGCCAATGCCTGTTCCTCCACATAAACCTCATCATTCTCCCCGAGATCAATGGGATTCGCCCTTGAATCAGAACCGGCAGCACTATCTCCCACGTTGTCTCCATGGTATGGCAAAAGATGTTTTACATTAAACACATCAGAAGTCCGTATATGGGAAGGAAGTCAAAGGCGATAGGCGTTGGGGTTGATCTTCTCCACAATTTCCACTGGACCAATGGTACGAGGTGATAACTTCGAATGCTAATAAGATGGCACTTGATCCTTAGTCAGTACCGCCCAAACATAATCCCCAACGTCAAACTCAACAGGACGTCGATGCCGATCAGCCGCCTCTTTATACTTACGGTTGGACTCTAGCAGATTAGCTCCTGTTTCCTCGTGAACTTGTTGCAAACTACAAACAAAATCAACAGCTGTCCCATGCAGCCGAGTCTTAGAGGGCAGAGCCAATAAATCAACAGGGCTGCGGGGCAGAATACTATACACAACCTGGAACGGACTGAAATCGGTGCTTCTATTTCTAGCATGATTATACGCAAACTCTGCCTGACTAAGCCGCTGATCCCATGAGCGTAGATTATCCCCAACCAAGCACCGCAACAAGTCAACCAAAGAACGATTAACTACCTCTGTTTGCCCATGAGCGACGTGTTAACTGACTTCCATAAACTCCGCCAAAAGTGACCGATGAACCTCGTGTCTTTGTCAGACACGATGGAAGTGGGCAACCCATGCAACCGATAAATCCATGCTAATATCAGTCCACGGAGCTGAAGGCACTGGTAAGGGTCGATAAAGACCAGCATTTGTGGCTTTCCCCTTTGCCACGTGGCACACCCTGCATCGTGAGACAAACTTCTCCACTTCATGACGCATAGTAGGCCAGAAAAATGAAGCGCTAATCAAAGCCAAAGTACGATCTCGCCCAACATGACCTTCACCATGAAACTCCTCAATCAATTTCAAACGAAGGCTGCAATCTGGTATACACAACTGAACACCTCTAAACACATACCCATCCTCTAATAGAAAAGAGGAATGGGGTCTCTGCAGTAAACTGTGATAGATGTGGCCAAACTAAGGGTCATCAGCATAAAGAGAGACGAAGGTCTCAAACCCGGTAACCGCTACCTGTAGCCGCGCTAATAACCTATGCCGCCGACTGAGCGCATCTACCACACGATTAGAAGAACCAGCCTGATGTTTAATGACAAAGTTGAACTGCTGCAAAAAGGCAACCCATGATGCATGACGGGCAGATACAGACTCCTGGCTTGACAAATGTTTGAGGGCTTCATGATCACTGTATAAGACAAATTCTCGCTGAAACAGATAATGTCGCCAATGGTGAATGGCCTAAACAACAGCATAAAGCTCTGCGTCGTAAGTGTTATACCTGCCACGAGCCCCTGCCAACTTCTGACTGAAATAAGCTACTAGTTTTCCTTCCTGACTGAGGACAGCTCCAATACCCAATTTAGAGGCATCACAATGTAATGCAAAAAGTTTTGTGAAATCAGGCAACGCAAGTATCGGGGCTGAAGTCAGACGCTCCTTAATGATCAAAAACGCCTTCTCAGCCTCGGGTGTCCACTGAAACTTACTCTCCTTCATGCAATCAGTAATGGGAGACATGATGGTGCTAAAGTGCTGAATAAATCGTCGATAAAACGATGCTAAATCGTGGAAACTCCGCACATCAGAAACTGACTGTGGACGCGGCCACTGCCGAATCGCATCAACCTTAGCTGCATTCATCGTTACCCCACCGGCTGACACAACATACCCCAAAAACAAAACACTATCGGTATAGAACACGCACTTCTTAGTGGCTGCAAAGAACTTCTCCTTGCGTAAAGCATTAAGGACTTTCCTTAGATGCACACCATGAGACTCCTCCGACCCACTGTACACCAATATATCATCGAAGTATACAACAACGTACTTACTAATAAATGGTCGAAGTGCTTAGTTCATCACCCGCATGAACGTGCTCGGTGCATTGGATAGTCCAAACGGCATAACTAGCCACTAAAATAATCCCTCCCGTGCCTTAAATGCTGTCTTCCACTCATCACCAGGACAGACTCTTATCTAATGGTAACCACTTTTCAAGTCCAGTTTGGTAAACACAGTTGACCTACTGATCAAGCAAGTCATCTAGCCTCGGTATCGGAAAGCGATAACGAACTGTTATTTTGTTGATGGCCCTGCTATCTATACACATCCAATAACTCCCATCTTTTTTTGGCATTAGGAGTGCGAGGATTGCACACGGGTTGAGGCTCTCTCTGATGTACCCTTTTTGCACCAACTCCTCTACTTGTCTACTCAACTTCTCATGTTCCACTGGGCTCATTCAATAATGTGGGCGATTAGGCAATGATGCATCCGGTACCAAATCAATGTAATGTTGCATATCCTGCAAAGGTAGAAGACCCTGTGGAAGGTCATCCGAAAACACATCATGAAACTCAGACACCAAGGCGGCAGCTTTGGGGTGAAGACCCGTCCCCTCGACTGTCATAGGAACTGTCGACACTCCTATCGTCTCAGTTCCCACTAACAACAGTACAACACCTTCTGCCAGCATCTCATGCACAAATAAAGATCGGGAAAGTAGATTACTATTGTCCCCTGCTGAAGACAGACACTGCGTATCTTTGGAGGGTAGTAGTACAATCTTTTTACCCGAAAAGGTGATTGTATATGCATTTAGACACCCTTCATGGCACATGTCCCTATCAAACTGCCATGGACGACCCAACAACAAATGACACGCATCCATCGGCACCACATCACACCAAACACTATCACGATACACACTGCTAATAGAAAAAGATACCAGCACACTGCTAGTAACACGAATTTCATTACCTCATCTCAAACATGCTAGGCTATAGGGAGCAGGATGAGGTTTGGTGCTTAACTGCAGCTCCTGCACGATCGCTTCGGATATCACATTTTCGCAACTACCCGAATCAATGATGAACCTACACACCTTTCCTCCAATGGTACACGTAGACAGAAAGATATTGTTTCGCTGCAGATCCTCAAACGACCCCTTAGGCGTAAGCCACGCCCGTCGGACCACCAAAAGAGGCCCCGTGTCACCTGTATGCACAATTTCAGCCTCTTCTTCTTCATTCTCCACATGAACAGGATCGTTAACGTCGGCTTGTATTGTCCCTCCAATGAACAAACCTAGGCGTGGCTGCCCATGAAATGGACAGTCCTTCCTCAAATGACCAAAACCACCACAACCAAAACACTCACTTCCACGCCCTTGTCCACCAGGAGGAGCCCAGCCACTCGAATTAGCGGTTGGAGGAACCACTGGCCGAGTGTTCCGATCAACGCCCCGACCCCCAGATGTAAAGGATTGGGACGGACCAGATGTGGGATTTGGGGCAAATTGTCGACCCCCACCTCCAGATGGACCACCAGAATGCCTACTACAGAACGACGTTGTTGTTGATTTTCAGCCTGAAGTGCTCGCTGGCGAGCCTCAGAAACAGATACCGGCGAGAACATATTTAGGACGTCGAGCAAATTCAATCGTAGTCCACCAATATAGCGCGCTACCAACTGGTTTTCTGATTCTCCCACATCATTTCACGCTATCAGTTGGTAAAACTCTATGGAATAAGCATCTACAGATCGATTGCCTTGTCTTAAATTCTGTAAGCACTGATACAAAGTCCTGGAATAATTAAAGGGAAGAAACGCTGCCTTCAACTGTTTCTTCATTTTTTTTCCCACGACTGGATTTTCGCCTTACCCTGACGGATCCGGTTTTGCTTCAATTGCTGCCACCACACAGTAGCATGACCACGTAGACGGGTCGCCACTAAAGGTACCCTTTTATTGTCGGGCACTTCTTTGTAATCTAAGATCTCCTCTACTGCCGCTAGCCAATCGAGGAATTCATCTGCCTCAATTTCACCGTGAAATTCAGGTATATCAACCTTGAATCCGGATTCCCATCGCTGAAACGCGTCTTGCTGTTGCACATGAGGCTGTTGAACACGATCACCACGTGCCTCTGACAAGGTCTCCTCATCCGACCTCTCCCCTAATTCAGATCCACCTCCACCAACACTCACTAGGGCACGACGTGGAGGAGCAGGAGGTGTTCCATTCTGCACAACCTCTGTTGCCCACGTCATGAATTGTTAAAATCGGATTGTCAACGCCTCAACTTGATTACGCAGGTCTGCAACTTCATCAATATGGCCACCACGATCACCACGTCCTCTCCCACGCACCATGCTCTGATACCAAAATGATGTAGATTGAATCTACAAACACACGACAACAATAACCAAATGGATTGAATTCAGAAACAAACTTTTATTATTTCGTGAACAACCAAGAAAACCCTATGAGGCATCTTGTAGCGTCTTAAATATGAAAGAAAAGATAACCTAGTGGGCCAGCAGTCCCAAAATGGGCTGGGCTACAAAATGGAAATAACAAATGCTGAAAATAAATAACACAAAAACTTAAAATGCTATTTTGACACACTAAACGACTTCAAACGCTTGCTACCTTTCCGAAATGGGGTTATGGGCCCAAAACGAACACCAAACGCAAAAGTTACATCAATTTCTTTGAAAGCCAACCATCCAACCGTTCCATGTATGCCAATGCCTGTT